TGGAAAGCATTTAGAGCGGTGCGGCCGAGGATGATGTTGTAAGCAGAGGGACAATCGACGACTAGGAAAGTGAGCAACTTGGTGGTCTATCGTAGGTATTCTCCGATTGTGATGGGAAGGTCGATGGAGCCGATGGAGGTCACCCGATCTCATTTAAAACTGACCAATGGGGTTTGGAGAGGGGACAGACTTTCTTCCCCGATCTTGAGCTGTCGGAAGGCATTTAGGAAGATGATGTCTGAAGAACTGCCGTTGTCGACAAGAACCCGTCTGACTTTGTAATTGGAGAGGAGGGCAGAAATGACGAGAGGGTCGTCATGGGGGTAGCGGATGCCTGTGCAGTCGGCGTTCATAAAGGTGATAGGCTCCGTCCACTGCTTGGGCTGTTTGGAGGGTCGGTCCAATGTGGCAACTTCTTTGTCGGAGCCTTGCTTTATTTTTCTGAGTTCTGTCCGCTGAGCCGAGCAGGATGGTCCTCCACAAGCAAGCCCGCCTGCAATAACTCTGATCTCTCCAATAGGGGGGGCGGGCTTCCCTTGTGCCCGAGGTTGCTGTGGAGGGTGATCATGACCTTGATTAGGTTGTGCGGGTTACCAGGGAGGGGTGCGGTGACGGTTGTTTCTAATAGGTTCAGTCCTTTGCCTCTGTTGAGGGCGGGCTTCCGTGAATCGAATGAGACGTCCCTAGCGTATCAAGCCCTCGACCTGGTCTTTGAGGTTAACACACTCCTCCGTGTTGTGGCCATGGTCTTGATGAAAGCGGCAGTATTTGGACTGGTTTCGCCGGTTAGAAGGAGATCGTGATGGTTGGGGCCATTTTATGGGGTAATCTCGTTGAATCTGGTTCAAGACTTGTTCCATGGGGGAGTTGAGGGGTGTGTATCGTTTGAACCGGCTAAGCGGTCGGGTTGGTGTCGACTGGTCGGCTCGGGGCGGTTGGTCGGTATACTGAGGTGTTTGGTTATTGTACTGGGTGTTTATGGTTTCTAAGTCCTTTCTCTTCTCTCTGGGGGTCGAATTTTTGGCTGTAGGCTCTTGGCGGGCGGCTAGGAAATCTTCGGCGTTCATGTATTTTTGGGCTTTGGAGAGTAGGGTTGCCATGGAGGTTAGGGGGTTTTTGGAGAGAGAGAAAAGGAAATCAGATGATCGTAGGCCGGCCATGAACACCGTGAGGATGACCTTGTCATCGTTTTCTGCTACCTACAGGGCTTCGGTGTTGAAGCGGGTGACAAAGTTGCGCAGCGACTCCCCGTCGGTCTGACGGATGTTGAGGAGTTGGGTTACCGGACGCCGCTGGCACTGGGCTCCAATGAAATGGCTGAGGAATGAGTCACTGAGGTGCTGGAAAGTGGAAACAGAGTCTGCTGGTAGTTGACTAAACCAGAGTCAAGCCGATCCTTGAGTGTTACGGGAAAAGCCCGACACATGATTTCATCAGGAAATGCATGGAGGATCATGAGGGTTCTGTAGGTCTCCAAGTGATCAACTAGGTCCGTTGTACCGTCAAAAGAGTCGATGGTGGGCATTTTGAACTTAGGCGGTAGAGGTTTGTCCCAGATGGAGACAACGAATGGTGAGTTAACTGTGGTGGATGGTTTTATTCGGTATGTTCTGCATGACTCCTTGGAGCTGGAGCTTCATGGCTCGGAGTTCTGCATCCCAGAGAGGTATGTTGTCACCACCGGAAGGCAGTGGAGGTTGGACGCTACTGGCTTCTCCTTTGGGGGTTGGTGCCGGAATCGATGGATGCAGGGCCCGAGGTGGAGGGTTCACATCTGGGGGAGGGGGTCGCAAGCTTTCCATGTTGGGTGGATGGGGCTGCTGGATAGTATGGCTCGGGGTTCGTTCTTGGTTGGGTGGAATATCTGGAGGTAGTGGTGGAGGCATAGGAAGGTTTCTTTGGAGTAGAGCATTAATCAGGGCTTGGTTTTGCTCGGCCAGGCGGTTGATGCTGTTGGTGAGCTCGGTGAAATACCGTGGGGGGTTGTTTGGATTGGAAGGGTCGGCTTGGTGGTCGGCAACATTGTGGTGAGAAGCCATGGATCTAGTCGTGGCCACCCACCTTGGTGGGTGGCAAGAAGAGGTTATTGGGAAGGGGCCTCCGGCGGCAATGAGCACAATTGGCACGCGGAACAGAGAGGCTTCCCATAGACGGCGCCAACTGATGATGCAGTTCGTTCCAGATGGAATGGGTCGGACTGATCTACGCTCCTCGAACCTGTGTCTGAATGACCAAACCCACCAGAAGACCTGCACAAGAGTTCAACGGGGAACGGGGAGTCCTCCCAGCGAACCCTCCGACGAGCAAGTTAGAAAACGAGGTATAATGTAGAGGTAGATTAGAGATAGAAAGCTTAACCTTCTTCTTGTCTTCGACGTCTGTTTATATCATTTGGTAATCATTTCGTTGTCCCTTTCGACCTGTGGCCATGGCCGAAAGTCTATGTTCTAGCTTGCCTTGTTCATGGTGAGGCCGTTCTGTCTCGACGGGGAGGGCTTATCTCAATAAATGCTGTAAGGGCTTTCGTTAATGGCTGATGTGCAGTACAATAACTTTACAGAATCTTTGTCTACTTATGTGGCTTGTCCTTCTCCTGCATGTGTGTGGATGTTATTGGTTCTTAATGCCATGTTGAGCTCCAGCAACGTTGGGCCTTAATATGTGAGTTATGTATTTGGCCTTAAACGGTGGGCTATATCCTTTATGGGCTTACCCGTGTCAATTAGAATTTTTAATAAAAGAATTTTAATGAGCTGAGTGAATCTTACTATGATATTTTAGCCTTAATTTTATTTTTTTATTCCCTACCACATTATTAGAATTTAATTAAAGTTTTAAAATTAAAGAATGTATCATATACATATACATATACATATATATATATATTAGTTTCTCTTTTTAAATCCGTTCTCAAAACGAGCATTAGAGCAACTCCAACCACACTTTTTGCTTTTTACTAGCTAAATTACAAAAAAGTAAACTCTTTATTTTACTTAATTACTTTAGCTATTGTGTTCTTCAACCACGCTCTTTATTTTAGCTAATCATTTAAACTAACTTAATTAATTTTTAAAATAAAAAAATACTAATTGTTGATATTTTACTAATATTTGAAAAGTCTGAAATTCTTCAATTGAAACTACCATAAATATATAAAAATTTAAAATATATACATACATAATTGTTTGAAAAGTCTGAAATTCTTCAATTGAAACTACCATAAATATATAAAAATTTAAAATATATACATACATAATTGTTTGAAAAGTCTGAAATTCTTCAATTGAAACTACCATAAATATATAAAAATTTAAAATATATACATACATAATTGTTTGAAAAGTCTGAAATTCTTCAATTGTAACTACCATAAATATATAAAAATTTAAAATATATACATACATAATTGTTTGAAGAGTCTCTGAAATTTTTCAATTGTAACTACTAAAAAAATAAGATAATAAAATAACTAGCTCAATAACTAACCTATTAAAACTCAAAATTAAATTTATATTAACAAAAATGTCTAACAAATCTTGTTTACTTATCCCTTAGAGATGCTGTTAGGATCCTACATTACTCTTTGGAATTAGGGCATCTTCTTTCTTCTTTACTTTTTCCGCATTTAATTAAATGCGCCGTCCCTCTCTCTTTATAAATAAGAACATGGAGCCTGCTTACGCCTTCACTCCTTTGAAATCTCCGCTGTGTATTGAAAATATCACACTAGCCCTTCTCATCTGCTCTCATCCCTCTCCAATCTACGAACACTCTCTGTAAGATCTTCGCTTTCTACTCTTGAATCTCTCTATCTATGTTTTCTTTTTGTCTTTATTTGGTTCTAGGAGTTTGATATCAGTATGAACATGTGATTCTGAGAAAATTTTTGGTTTGTTGATTTTGTTTTACATATCATTTTGCCTGACTAAGTTCTCATACAACTATGTATGGGGGTACTTATCATGGTGGAAAAATGGAGCAGCTATGTATGTTTATTTCATGTCTTAAGCATCTCCATTAATTCTAAAACTCTTTTATCAAATTTAAATTTGATGAATTTTTTGGTGACAATGACCTCAAATCATGTCATCAAAATTGTATTAAATCAAAATTTCACCAAAATTTTCATCAAATCAAGAAAAAAACAAGGATTTATTTATTTATTATTATTATAAAAAAAAAAAACCAAATTTGATGAAAGAAGCTTTTGGGGATAAGCTTGAAATTTTAAAAAAGATTTGATGAAAATTTTAAGTGAGGATTGGAGCATTTGAAATTTTTGCCAAATCAAGTTTTTAGTTATATTTGATGAAAAGTTATTGGAGCATCCCATATCAAAAGTTCTTAACCAATTTTTTACCTAAAATTTGATGGAAAAAAGAAAAAGAAAAAAAAAGATGAAGGATTGGAGATGGTCTTAGAGCCTAATTTAATTTTTTGGGTCAGTTATGTACCCCGTGGCCACTTGAAAAAATTTTTGGTCTTCCTATTTTTGTATAAGAAAAAGTAGTAAGAACTTTACTGTGAAGTGGATTACAGCCACATAAATCTGTCATGATCTGAACAAGAATTTTACACGGGAGACCTGAAGTGCAACACTTGAAAGAAATTAGGGTCCGTTTGGCATAGCTTTCACTTTCTGTTTTTATTGTGTGTTTTCAGGAACAAAAATAATGAAAATGTTGAAAATACCCATGTTTTATCATTATTCATAAAAAATTCAAACCCATGTTTTCACATCGCTTTCATTTTTATCTGAAAATCAGTTTTCAAAAATTCAGGAAGCAACTCAACAATGCATCCTTAAAATGAGTTGTTTTCCGAAATCTTTTTCGAAAATGGTTTTCAAAAATGGTTTGTCAAAAGAATAATAAAAACCCCATTTTTTAAAAGATCATGAATTTTGATAAACTTTGTCTACCACAACATTTTTACAATATTCTGTCAAAAATTGATTTGAAATAGTGATTTATTCATTTTGTTTGAACTTCCTTGTGGTGTTGAAACATTTAGGATACTCACATTTCTACCTAGATTATAAAATATTCTAGGGACTTCTACTTTGTAGTTTGGAATAGTGGTTTTGAACTCATTAGGAAAAGAAAGAACAAGAAGATGAATGTGGTTTTGAAATGGGATTGGGATGGTCACCTAATAAAGGAAGGTTGCAGCAGTTGAGCTTGAAATTGAGTTTCTTAATGGATGATCTCAACAATTTCCAATATATCTAGTTCAGAAGTTTAAAGTAGTCTATTATTATTATGGAAGGTTTGAAATCTCAGGATGATAAGCATTGTATGATGTTTTTTTGATAGTTCTGCAAAGCATTAAAAGACTTGTTTCTCCTTTAAGAATGAGCTAAGGGGCCTTCAACTTGCTCAGACATTTAAATGTGCACGACTTTTTATGCATGATATAAAATAGTGTGTGAGATTGTTGCTATCAGTTGAATAACATGGAACCTAGATTGAAGAGCAGAGAACCACTCGCTTTGCTTCTTCTCACAGTGTTCCAACAACTATTGCCTTGTTGTTACAGAAATGGATGGTTAAGTTCCATTTCCTTGTAAATTATGATGAGGCAACATATTAATGGCGGTATCCACTAACATCCAACTTCAACTTTTGCTTCAAGTTAGTAAGAAACATACTTCAAGAGAAAATAAGATAGGATGTGAAATAGCTCTCGAATTCACAAGCTTACTATTGAAATATTTGGATGAAAAGTAGGTACTATTTGCATTGGTGAGATTTAATTATTTTTCGTGTGAATGGTAATTAGGTGATAGCTGACCTTGTCAGATTAAAAAAAGGGGGAAAAAAGTATGAAAGAAAACAAATTGATTGATGAAAGTAGTTAGTGGTTCATTCTATGTGAATTCATTTTTGGGTAGTCTCTTCTGTTATCAGAATCGTACAACTCATGATACATATTGCACGATTTAGTTCAATACACAAATCAATCGATTCGTATTTAGGGGGTCAATCAACGAAAGCAAGAAGCATCAGAATCATATGATTCACGATGTGTATCACATAATTCAATTCGATACACCAAACAATCAATTCAGCTTTATCCGCATATTTTTATTTGCAAAAGGAATATTTTGAAGGAATCAAGTGACATGATTGAAAAGTGTGGTGATTTGAGTATGCTGGGCCCTTTGAGGTGAGTATTTGGGTTATTTGAAGAATAGAATTGACGTCTTTTGGAGTTTTAAGGTTTTTGTATCCTAACTTTTGGGAAAAAAAAAACATGGAGCCTAGATTGAAGAGCAGAGAGCCACACGCTTGCCTCTTCTCACAGTGCTCCAACAGCTATTGCCCTGGTGTTACAAAAAAGGATGGTTAAGTTCTATTTTCTTGTAAGATCTTCTAACAAGGGAACATTGTAATGGTCTATATTTCAACAACTTATTGGCTTTATCTTTTACTTAAGGTGTGAGGAAGCACAGTTTGACTTGCTTATTCTTTACTTATAGTTAGTTTTGTGTTTTTCCGTTTTTCGTCTTCTTCCACCCAACCTAAGCCTCCACATTTTTCAATCTAGGCCTACCACTTGTTCTATCACAGGAATTAGAGCCCCTCATCAGTTCAGAAGTTCAAGATGAGCGGGAAGGATTTATGTAATGCATTTGTGTATAGAATCAAAATAGAATAGAAATATTTGAAGAGACTGAGTTTCTTTGAGTATGAAAATGATAATTATGTCATAGCTTTCTTGCTAGATATGTGAAGAAGATAATACTATATTGTTTGGAGTTTTCCCATTATATTCTGAGATCTTCTAAAAGCTTGAAGTTTATTACAAGGAATTGTGATTTTGAGCTTGGATTGCCAGCCAATATAGTGGTTCGCAGCACCCAATTTTGAAACCTGGTTTGTGATTTTTAATCTCATTATTCCCTAGTAAATATAGTCAATTGTAAAATAAATATTTGCAGAAATGTTTGAAATATCAGGACTGGATTTGCCATTTGCTTTAAATGTCTAGCAGGTTTTTTTTTAGGTTTATCTACCCATTAGCTGAATTTGATATGGCCTATAGGGACCTCCATCCCAATATAAACACAGCAGTCTGCACTGCAAATTCAAAACGTTTTTGGTGTTGGTTAAAAATTTTAAGACTTTGCATTGGTTGGTACCAACATGGAGCCTCGAGTGAAGAGCTAAGAGCAACTCGCTGGCCTCTTCTCATAGTGCTCCAACATTTAATGCCTTCGAATTTTAAAGATGGATGGTCAAGTTCTGTTTTCTTGCAAATTCTGACGAGGCAACATAGTAATGGCGGTAGAAGGCCACTTTCTTGCCTACTCTCATGAAAATCATGACATTGATTTTTCTTATCATTTTGGGGATGTTTAAGTCTTTTTGCCATTTTGATCAATTTGGTTTGTGTACAAAAATTTTGATACATATTTACTTGTGTCCAGGAAAATATGTCAACCGCGATACTCCCCTCTCACTGCATGTTCAGGAGTGCACCCCAGACCCAAAGTACCACCAATGCCTTCATCAAGAGCACAAAAACGTCTCTAGTGTCTGTAAAGAGTGTCTCTAATGCCTTTGGCTTGAAATCTTCCTCAGGCTTTAGAGCATCTGCTATGGCAGTATACAAGGTCAAGCTGGTTGGTCCAGAGGGTGAAGAGCATGAGTTTGAAGCCCCCGATGATGCTTACATCTTAGACTCAGCTGAAAATGCAGGGGTTGAGCTGCCCTATTCTTGCAGGGCCGGTGCTTGCTCGACTTGCGCTGGTCAGTTGGCGTCGGGTACTGTTGACCAGTCTGACGGATCTTTCCTTGATGAGAACCAAATGAAGCAGGGTTACTTGCTGACTTGCATTTCATACCCAACTCAAGATTGTGTCATTCACACTCACAAGGAAGCTGATCTTTACTGAGTATTCTTCATATCAGCCCTCTGATTTGGTGCAAGAAAAGGCATTGGATAGGGCTTCAAACTTGTTATCTAGATTTTCTTGGATTGCGATGTCTTGAACCGTTGGTACTCTTTTTAAGCAAATCAATCATTTTTCAACCCCAAAATGCTAGTCTTCTTCACTTTCTAGCTTCTTTTCTTATTTTTGTATCATATGTATCCGTGCTTGATTAAAGAACATATATATATCCTTTTTTGTTTTTGTTTGATTAAAGAGGCAAATTTTAGCCATCCCATTGCTGTCATTATGAAGAAAAGGTTCTATAAAGCAAGGAGCTGTGGGATAGATATTACATAATACGACATTGTCCTACAGAAAGAGTAGATTTGGTGAATTTGTCAGCCACACAATTTGCCTCGCAGTATACACGAGAGAGGTTGATTTGCCAGTTATGCCCACAAAGTGACCTACAATCAGATACAAGAGGTTGGATTCAAGGTGGAGTGGAGTGGAGTGGAGTGGAGTGGAAGATAACAATAGAAATGCAGCATGAGAGTTAATTTCCAAATCAAGAAAATGGTAACTATACTCCCAAACTATTAATATTCCCGTATGAATGGTACATAGCTCTGTTACCATATCAGTACCACTGGCAATGCATTGAACAAACTGAGAATCCAATGCCCAAGATGATTTTGAAAGACCCCTGCAATACTAGCTCTGCCTGGTTGATTGAGAGCACAACCATCTGTATTGAGTTCAATGGATGGAGGGCAAGGGGGTTCCAATCCAAACAGTGTGGGTCTGTCTCAAGGTTTCTGTAGGATAGGCCAGAAAGTAGTATTCTGTTGCAAATCGAATTCTCAGTTTAATTTGGTATTGAGGAATGTTGCACAGAGATTGAATAAGCTAGAGTTGTGAGATTAAGGTGTATGCAGGCATCTTGCGGTAACTGGTAAGAATGTTGAAGAACCAATGGTGGTGGGACATGGGTCCATAATGGTGCGAGCCCAGATGCAACACTCCAAGGCTTGAAGGGGGTTTTCTATAGCATGGCCACAATAATGGCATAAAGAGGAGTGTGTGTTATGGAAGCATGATTTAACAAGTATGCAATTATGCACACACCACCAAAGGAGATAAGTTTGAGGGGCATTTGTTGCTCGAAAGGCAGCTCCAAGAGGGGGAGGGAGTGTTATCTTGGAGAAACTTATAAGTGGATTTGAGAGTGTAGATGCCCAAATGTGAGGGCAAAGGAGGGGTGCCCTCACTATTTGAGAAGAAGGAAAGTATTTGGATTTGAAGATTTGGGCCCAAAAGGTCTGGGTTCAAAGTCTCCACGTGAGGTGCAAGAAATGGGCTAAGTTGTGTTGTCGCAAAGCCGGTAAGCCCCAGCCCACCCATGTGTTTGGGGGGAGGTGATAGTTTTCCAAGAAATAGCATACCATTTAGCATGGAAAATGCTACTACCCCCAAGGGAAAGCCGAAAGAGCTGGTTTGTTTATCTGATGGGGGTTCACCTTTTATGAATTTATGAAGCTTGAATGGTACCTCAATTTACTCACCTGAAAGGAAGAAAGGAAGAAAATAAAAAAGGGAGTTTGTTTTTCTTGGTTTGGTGAACCTTTTTTGACTTTGCTACAAAAATGAGTAAACGTAGCATTGCTGGTGAAACAAACAATGTCAAGAAATTTGACAAAGTGAAGATACAGCTGCCTACATGCTGTTGGATTTTGTACAGCAAACTTTTACCATAAAAAAGGCTGCAATGGATGAAGATGTCTCGTACAGGACCTAACCTCAACTATAAATACCCCATTTGGTTTGGGGGAGTTCTAAAAGCATCGAAGAAGAGAAGAGAGCTACTCAATGTGTCCCCCAAGTTTGGGCAATGACTGGAGAGTGTTTTTGTATTTCTATCTATTTGGAGAGTTTGTGTATATACCCATTATTGAGTGGAGAGGGTTTGTCTACTCACAGTTGAGTGGAGAGAGTTTTGATGGAATAAAAGTGATCGCACCATAATTCGGTGTGACTAGCAAGCCATTTTTAAAACATTAGAAATCATTAGAATTACTTGAAGTAATTCATTCTGACATTTGTGGCCTTTAAAGAACTAAGACTTATTGAGGCATTAAATACTTTATTACTTTCACTTATAATTATTCAATATATGGACACATCTACATTCTTAAACACAAATCAGAGGCACTTGAAATTTTAAGGAATATAAATTAGAGGTACAAAAGTAACTTGGTTGGTTCATTTAAAACTTGAATAATGATAGAGGTGACAAATATGAAGCTATGGATTGTTTATGTAAGGAAAATGGCAAAAAACATTTGTTTACAATGCCATACACTCCACAACAAAATGAGATTGCAGAAAGACGAAATTAGACTCTTATGGAAATGACAAGGTCTATGATGACACATGTTGATCTTCTTATTCATTTTATGGGAGAAGCCTTGTCAATCGCTGCGTACATATTAAATAGAGTTGAAACAAAAGTCAAACCTCTAACTCCTTATGAACACTGAAATGGTATTAAACCTAATATTCTAAATCTCAAAGTTTGGGGATGCAAAGCATATGTACTTATTTCCAAACATTTAAGGGATAAATTGGAAAGTAAAACTTGATAATGCAAGTTTATTGGCTATGTCGGAAATGTGAGTGGTTATCGTTTTTACCAACCCAAACCTGGATTAATAGAAAGTAGAGATACTATTTTTCTTGAATCCATTGATCTTGTTACTCCAATTGAACAAATTGAATTGCTTTTCAAGGTATCTCGAGATTCTTCTGTCCTTTATTTGTCACAAGAACCACAAGTTCTCATAGATCAACCTATTAGTGGGAGGAAAAGAAAACAAAGTGACATTGTCGAATCCTGAGATAAGTGGGAGTAAGAGAGTAAAACGTTCATCTACAGTTTTGAAAGACCATTATGTTTTTCAAGTTGAAGAACTCAATAACTTAGTAGATGATCTTACTAGTTACAATGAAGCAATAAGTAGCAGTGACACTACTGAATGGCTTCAGGCAATGAATGAAGAATTTGATTCGATCAAGAAAAATGATATTTGGGAATTAACTGATCTCCCAAATGGAAGAAAAGCTATTCGTTGCAAATGGGTTCTTAGAAAGAAATTCAAAGTAGATAAAAGTTTGGAGAAATACAAGGCAAGACCAGTAGCCAAGGTATTCACTCAACAACCTAGAGTAGACTTCGTAGATAAGTATTCTCCTGTTGCAAAATTTGTCTCAATAAGGATTCTAATGACAGTCGTAGCCAGGATGGATCTGGAATTGCATCAGTTAGATGTTAAAACATCTTTTCTCAATGGAGAATTGAAAGGGGAAATTTATATGATGCAACCCGATGGTTTCCAAATCCAAAGTAACAAAGATAAAGTCTACAAGTTGAAAAGGTCCTTGTAAGGACTCAAACAATCTTCAAGACAATGGTACTTGAAATTCTACCAAGTCATTTTAGAAATGGGCTATGTTGTGAGTCCATTAAACCACTGTGTTTATATCTGGAAAAATGATTACAAGTCAGCAATATTATCTTTGTATGTGGATGACATATTGTTTGCAGGAAATTTTCCAGATATGATTAAGAAAATCAAAACTTTCTTAGTATCTAGATTTGAAATGAAAAGTATAGGTCTTGCGACCTATATTCTAAGAATTAGAATTTCAAGAGATAGAAATTCAAAGTTATTATATCTAGATAAACAAAAATGTTTGAAAAAGGAGCTCAAAAGATTTAATATGGATAATTGTAATTCTTTAAGCATACTTGTTTGCAAGGGACAAAGTCTTAGTAAAAGTACGAGTCCTCAAAATAAGTCTAAAATTGAGGAAATGAGAGATGTCCTATATGCTCAGGCAGTAGGCAACCTAATGTATGCTATGACAAGCACAAGGCTTGATATCTGTCATGCAGTAGGATTGGTAAGTAGGTTTCAATCCAATCCAGGTAAGGAACATTGACAAGCAGTTAAAAGAATATTCAAATATTTAAAAGGTACCAAGGGTTTAAAATTATGTTTTGGTTTGTGTGATCTAGAAGTAAAAGGATACACTAACACATATTTTGTAGGAGATGCAGATAATAGAAAATCTACTAATGGTCATGTATTCTTGTTTGGTGGAACAATAGTTTCTTGGTTAAGTAAGAAACAGAGTTGTGTTGCAAGCTGAGTACATAACTTACAGCACAATAGTTAGTAATGCAGTCTGGATAAAGCAATTTGTTGACAGTTTACAATTAGGTATCCTTGCCAGACTGGTCAATATATTTTGTGACAATCAGTCGATCATCTCATTATAAAAAGTGGAGCGAATAGCTCTAAGGGAAAGCATATTGATATAATTTATCACTATATTCAGGATATAGTGAAGATGGGTGAAATTAAAGTCGACTATATCCCCTCAGAAGAGATGGTGGCCGACCATATGACCAAAGGGTTGTCTCTAGAAAAATTCAGAGAACATGTAGCTAATATGGAATGTGACTTTATCTTGCATGGAAACATGTGCTTGGTCAAGTAATAAGGTAGAGGAACTGACAAGGTACAGACAACATAGTTAGCATGAGATGTAAAGTCCATGATGTGCAACATGCTAACTAGATGATGTTGTTTGCTTGATCAGCAAAAAGTCACTAATAAGGTGTGTTAAGGAAAATCTTTATGAATGGGCCTTAGAGGAAGTATTTAACAATAATTTCGACACAGGTCGAACATGAGAAATGTGTGCAGCTGAAGTCATCAATGGTGATTGGGTATGGACTATGAACACAACACTGAAAATTGATACCGTTCACTTGAAATATAGTTAATTGAAGTCATATGGTGTATATTGTTAGTGGGAGAACACATTCATACGGATGCAATCAGATTGGTGGAAAACACTTGCGCACGTATGGCCTAGTTACAATTGGATGTCAATCTACGAGGTAAAGTCATAGATGAAAGTTGGCATGAGGCAAAAATATTGGTTCCAAGGTAAACATGCTTAACTCCAATTTGTTACCTCATAATGTTGTGATCAAGGGAGAGATGATGGAATGAAAGTGATCGCACCATAATTCGGTGTGACTAACTACACACAAACATATTCTATATGTGGTGATATACCTTTCTGCAAGAAATAGAGAATAATTTGGAAGTGGAATGTTTGAATTTGAAACGCCAAGTGACACAACCATTGGTGAAAGATTGTAGTAAAACATGGACCATTACCAAAGGTTGCCATGATGT